CTGACCCTCAGGCCCCTTGGGATGGGGTTTGGGGCCCACTGAATAAAAGGGGGCCGTAGCAATAGTCCGAAGGTTCAATAGTCCGAAGGTTCATTGGTCCGAAAGTTCACTATAGAACCTTCGGACCAATGAACCCTTGATTAAAAAATCGATGAAAATGTTACCACTTTTCGGACCAATGAACCTTCGGACCAATGAACCTTCGGACTATCGAGACGCCCCCGAATAAAAGACCCCTGAAAAAGTTTATGTTAGAACAAACTGTGCCATTTGGTATAGTTTAGAACTATGAATCAGCTATTCAGAATTCTAATTTCAAGAGGGCCAAATATTAGTGTGATTTATTTTTTAGAAACCGAAGGCTGGGGGGTGGGGGTGGCAGGACCCCCCTGACCCCCCCCCCCCACACACACACATACACACACATCCCCACTGCGTTGACCCAGAAGGTAAGCATCGAAATGTAAGTATCATAAATACTGTATCATGGAAATAATTAATAGTTATAATATTCATAATGTGTGTGGGGTGTAACGATTTGAATAATAAATTATTTTTAAAAACTGATAGGAAGAAAATAGCGAAATATACATGAAAGTTTATAAAAATAGAATGGGGTTGCAGGCCAAGGAAATTGTGACAAATTTTCTCATGACAATGTGTCATTGCTCTCAATTATCTTTTCTTCAAAAGGTTTACTAATACTTCAGTAAAAGGTTATCAGTTATAATATTTAGTAATTAGGAAATCCAGAAACCATTTTTACTCCAACAGTTATATTTCTGAAGATTTTTTACTCCCTAAACTTCGAATTAAGTACATTGTTCATGGTTTTAGGAGCAGTGACTCAAAAGTAGAGATCAGGTCAGATTGTGTCTGCTTTAGAATTATACCTTGCTTTCTGAAAAGATTTTAATGCAATGTTGAAGTCTTAGTAATACACAGTTTTGGCTGATGTAGTATACTTTTATTACTGCAAAATGAATTGTCAAATTAAGGCACTAACACCAACTTGGAGTGCTTATTGTTCATTTTGTTAACGTCATGATTAAATAGACCTTTTTACAAAAACAGTGCTTATAGTTGTGCAGGTGCCAGAGGTCTATCTAAAAATAACAACTCCCCCCCCCCCCCAGCACCACCACCAAAAAAGGCTAATGTTCCATCATCATCTTGAATTACATAATTCATTCCAATGTATTTTGTTGGAACAACGTTACCTCATAACATAAAAAATGAAACAGCACAGAATCTAGGATCCCATTCCCACAGAATTTAGATCAATCTATCCCTGTGAGGAGTCTCACTAGATAACGGTCAGCTTAGCCGGCTTAAGTGTCTGTTCCACCTACTAAAAGCTGTAAGGGGGTAATTAACTGTCGTGCATGCTCGGCTGACTGCAATTTAGCGTGAACCCCCAGGGAGTTAGGTCGATCCAGATGGATCAATCTAAATCTGTGGGAATGTGCTCTAGAGCACTGCCAGAAGTGCAAACTGATGGCATGAATAAAATCAGTTTACATAGGTCAAATATTAAAAAAAATGCAGAACACTTAAGACATGCATGTTCTTTCACTCAAAGACATCGCTATTTCATTTTTGTATTCCACTCTGCTTTTTCTTTATGCATCTGAAACCTCTATTGCACGAATTCATGGCTGATACACATGTAGTCCACATCCTGGATGGATTATTCTGAAAATCTGTAGGATACATATTTCGAGCACAGTCCTTGATGAATTGTATACGATAAGGACAAAGACTTTTCTTTTTGAGACCACTCCCACTTGAATTTCCTAAAACATTCTTATCGTTTTGCAACCGCTCATCACTACTAAAAATTTTACACATTAATTTTATACAAAAACTTCTAGCATCATGTGCCTTGCTCTTAATTTCCTCTAATTCATATTGTGTGATACACAGACGGGAAAACTGTGCAGCCTGTGGTGGCATGAGTGGTACTTGAGAGTTGTGTATCAATGGTGTGGATGATGTGATAGCATTAGATATATGACTGTTCTGGTCTTCAGGTTCAGGTCTCCCAGGGCCAGAAATGGAGTTTGCTTTGTGTAGTAAGGATGCCCCAGCAGCGACTACAGTATCAGTTTGAATGTGACAAGTTTCGTGCCTTTTTGTTTCTCTGAAATTAAGGTATGTCTGATCACAAACTATACACTTGAATTCTTCTTTGCTGGAAGTTGCATTTACCTGTCTGTGTTTTCTTTCACATTCAATCAATAAGGCACAGCTACTGTAGTAGTCATTACAGACTGAACATATGAAAATTGTGGTACCTGTTTTAGGACATTTGTGGATACACAATAAATTTTCTCCAAAGTCACTGTGGGTAGCAAAGCAAAACTTGCATGATGGAATTTTAAACCTACGTTCACTGGAGCTAATTTGTGCAGAAACAGCAAGCTGACCAGATGATGAGGAATTCTTATTTGAATTGTTATCAGATAGCTGGTTAGAACTTTCCAGTGACACACTAATTGTTTCCCTGCTGGCTTGTAGCTTTGGGGTTTTCTTGGGGTTCTGCTCAACTGAAATGGGGCTCTTATGTACTTTACGTTTTAAAAATGATTCCATATTTCTCGGCTGACTGTCTTGTCTTCTTGTTCCTCTATATACTGTTGAGGTGATTTCCTTTTCATTTGTTTTCTCTGTGCTATTTGGCACAACAGTCTCATTACTGAGCTGGAAACTCTCATAACTTTCAACATGCATATCTAAATCAATATCATTTTCACAGTCTCCGCAGACTGAATCTGGATCCATCTTAACAAAATCCTGCGAAAAGTCATTAAAGCTGGACTCTCTTTGTAAAGTGTTTGTGCCTGTTTGATTTGTTTCCTGGCTATTTTGCAAAGTTTGACCTGCAGCAGTTACTACTGGACAATTCAGGAATGGAGATCTACTGACATCACTCATCCTTAACACACTTTCACATAAAGAACACCTTAAAGTCAAATTTTGTTGTCCATCCTCTTTTGTTATAACATCCATCTTCATGTGGATCAGCATGTGCCCCTCTTGGCATATCTGTTGGCTTGAAGAAGCTGGTCTGCTCATGTCAATTCCCATTCTTGCGGAGTAAAAAATTGGATTCTGAAAGATAAAGATGACAGAAAAAAATGTTGTTGTGCTTTGATTACTCCAGTGATTATGACGTCATGATGGATGTGGTGTGCATATAGCAATGTCAGTCTCCACACATATATTCATGGGTATTTGACTTGTGACAATTGCCCCACAACTGCATAGTATTTTATTGTTTGTTCTTTATTAATGGTTTCATCATCCAAAGTAATATACTCAAAAGTACTGCCCACATTTAGAATGCATGTGCAAAATAGTGTGTCAGAACAGTTGATTCACATCTCTTTTCTGCATGAAATTCAACACATTAATATACTTCCATTTAACGTTTTCTGATTTGTACTATATGCCCTCACTGACATCGTTGTAACTGTAAATGGCGGAGTTAGTTCATCAACCTTGAAGCTGGGGCTCTCAAGTTTTTTATTTTCATCATTCATAGTATCTTCCATATGAGACAAATAATTTTGCTGTAGACGGAACAATGAATAAGGTAAAATTTATCTGTGTGTTGACTAGCTACTTATGCCGTGGAGAAAAGAAGAAACACAAAATGTACACCGGCTGAAGACTGCCAAGGTATTGTATGCATGTATGATGTAAAGTACATTATAATTCGTGTACGTTTTGGATATTTATTCTCTGAATTCTAAACACGTTAACGTTGCACTGGCCTGCTCGGACGCCACGGATATTTTAAAACTTGTGTCCCTTTAAAACATGCGTTAAATTGCTTTTACTTACTTTCAAAATGTATCTGGTTGATTGATCGTTTCTGCACGCCTTTTGTCACTAATGAAAAACCTCAAGGAGTAAGTGGGAAAGTTAGTGGAAGTGCATGCACGTGACTAGCACACGTACGTCGGCGCCTTTGTTGCGTTATGGCGAAATGGTTTGCACTCCATGTTCGCCAACACGAATTGAGAAAAAAGTATCCACCGATAAAATATCCCTTATACCAAGATAAGACAAAGTGAAATATATTCATGCTAGTTACAAAGTTTACGTTGATTGAATTTTTTTCAGAACTTTATCTAATCGCCTTTAATCAGCAGTTTTCAAGAGAATAGTATTGTGCTTATGGAAATTTGATAGAATTTATCTAATAATGTTAAAACATTTTTTTGCAATATTTTTCTTTGACCCAATGGTCAGATACGATGATAAAGACTTTTATCCAGCCAAGTTTAATTTAAATAAAAATGCCATTTGACATATTGCTTTAAAAGACAGACTTTGTAAAATAGCAACTTTGCCAAATTAGGGGGCATGTGTCAGCTTGGGGCCCATTATAAATGGTAACATTTAAACAAAAGGTGAATATACATGTACATGTACATGTATATATATATACATGTATATGAACATCGTCTATTGACCATGTTCATATATATACATGTATATGAACATGGTCAATAGACGAATTCAATTTTTTAAATTGAACTATGGTAAATGAGCATAGCAACTAAATTCTATGGTCAGGCAGAATTTTAAGAGGTATGTTTATTCAAAAGGGCATGTCAAATATCCAAAGTGTAGGTCATTTAAAGCATAAAAACAACATCATCAAGGGTTTCCCTGCAATCAATTGTAAATTTTTCCACATAGCACACCAATACCCGATCCATTTCTCTACTTGAAAAACAAATCCTAAATTTAGGGTAGGCCATGCTGCCAGGTCCTTAATCAACTTATCAATTTCATATGGCCTATTTTTAAATATAATATTGATGAGCTACAATGTCGGTAATATGAAAACATTGCATAGGGGGAGCATCGGTGCGGGGGAGTAAAGAAGCAGAGAGGCAATAATGTGGGGAAGTATAGGTGTGGGGGAGTAAGGGTCCTAATAATGTTGATTTTGATCGATGTAGTGTACTTTTAAAAATTACAGAAAAAAAGGACGGTTGAGGCACCAACACTAACTTGCGGTACTTTATCTTAACGTTATGGTTAAATAGGCCTTAAAACAAAAATGCTGCTCATACCTGTTCAGGTGATAGACATCTATTCAATAGTAGCTATAAAAGTCCCCCACCCCAACCCCAAATAAAAATACTAAAATGATGTTGTCAGCTTAAATTACAAAAAAGCATCTCAATGCATTTTTAAGTACATGTAACAGTATTGTTTCATTACAAGACAAATGGAACAACACAGAACCTACAGCACCATCAGTTGTGCAAACTGATGGCATGAATAATATCACAATGTAACATAGTCCAATGCTAAAAACACTACATAATTTAAATAATGCATGTTCCATCACTCGGTGCCATCACTATTCCACTTGCCTCTGCTTATTACTACTTCTGAGACATCTATTGGCCGTATTCATGGCTGTTACACACCTATTCCACATCCTTTGTGGATTATTCTGAAAATCTGTGGGATACATAGTTTGAACACAGTCCTTAATGAAATGTACACGAATGGGGCAAAAAGCTGTTTTTTTAACTGCAACATTTTCAGTTCCTAAAATATTTTTATCATTCTGCAAGCGCTCGGCTCTACTAAATATTTTACACATTAATTTTACACAAAAGCCTTTAGCATCAGGTGACTTATATTTCATTTGCTCCAATTCATGTTGAGTGATACTTAATGGGGAAAATTGTAAAGCCTGTGGCAAAGGTGGCACTTGAGAGTTGTGTATCAATGGTGTGGATGATGTGACAGCATGAGGTATATGACTGTTCTGGTCTTCATCTTCAGGTCTCCCAGGGCCAGAAATGGAGTTTGCTTCATGTAGTAAGGATGCCCCAGCAGTCATTCCAATATCAATTTGAATGTGACAAGTTTCATGCCGCTTTGTTTCTCCAAAATCAGNAGGTAAAATGGTTTTCCACTTATCGTGTTATCGGCGCAGCATATATGCTGAAAAAAGTGAAAAAACAGCATAAATTCCCTATAAGTGACCCGATCATGCAGTGATCATGAAGCCATAATAGAGTTGGTGTTTACATAGAAGTGTCAATCTCCACACATATATTCATGGGAATTTGACCTTTGGCAATTGCATATCAATTTTATGTTTGCATGACCTCAATCGATGCCTTCATTATCCAAAGTTATTGTAATGTACTCAGACGTACTACCCACACCTAAAATTAATATGCAAAATAGAATGTCAGAACAGTTGATTCACATCTCTCTATTTAGAATATTCAGATACTGTTGTAAGTAACTGTAAAATGACAGTGAGCTAGTACGTCCACCTTCATGTTGGGGCTCTCAAATATTTTTCTAACCTCTCACCTTCTCAAATTAAGTCACACACTGTTGAAAAGCCTAGTTATGATGTCACACCTGCTGAAGACTGACAATAATGCGTGAAGTACATACTGGTACACGTTCATTGTACACTTCATGTACGTTTTGGAGGGGTTCAGAGCTCTATTTTGTATTTGCTCCTTTCAAAACATTTCCTTAAATGCTGTTACTTACTTTCAAATTGTATCTGGTAGACTGAACGTTTCCGCACACCTGCCACTAATGAAAAACATCAAGGAACGTTTCCGAAAATCAGCGGTAATTATTGGGTTTGCACTCCATGTCCGCCGACAGGAATTGGTAAAAAAAATACCCACCGATATAAATCTTATACCAAGATAAGACAAACGGTTACTAACTTCATGTTTAATTTAAAGTTAATTTTAATTTTTCTTAAACTTTATGTAATCGTGTTTAATCATTAACTTTCAAAAAATGGTAGATACCAGCTACATAGGCATTATGTCCATGGAAATATTACAGACGCGAACAAAACATAGAAATTAAAGTTATGCAAGGTACAGGTACATACAGGTACATGGAAGTTGCAACATAAAACTTACCAGTACAGCTAACAGCCTTTGCAACAGGTCGCACAGCTAACCTACAAATATTGACACTGCATATGAAATATCAAATAAGTTGCATGGCCAGATCCAGGATTATGATTATTTGAAACTTTTTTTTTT